CAACCGAGTATTTAATTAGTTACCGTGAATACTTTGCATAATTAATCGTAGCCAACTATCATTCCAATAGGTAATCATAACTCTGATAAAATAAATATTCTACCGATCGCTCACAGCGATTGACAAAACAACCACTTGATATCTGAGTAACAATGATAATTACTCGGTTATGTTCACTTGGCCTTCAATAATAATAATACGAAGGAGAAGAAGAATAAATTTATAATACAGATATTAAGTAGTTCATAGCCAGTGTTGGAAAATCCGTATCTAAGTGCTGCAGCATGTTTTCAAATTTTTATTATTCATACTTGACCGATTGATATGTGCGTCGTTCCGTAACGCTACTATGCATTCAGTCATTCATTTAGTCACGCATCTTAACAAGTAATTAAACAAAAACTTGCTAGCACTGCTAACTTGTTCGCTTGACCTATATTCAACTCTTTTAATGAGCTCTTCTATTGCTGTTCAATTGGCCGTTCAATTCAGTTCAAATCGAAATTCTTCCTCAAGAATGAGCACTTCTTGTGCTGTCCTGGACATCTTTCAGCGTCAACTCACACCCCACTCTTCAATTATTTATTTCACTCATTGATTGATATCATCTCCTTGCTCACTTTTCAAATGAACTGATCAAAAGCGTAAAGCCTTCGTGCCTCTCAACCGCCTCTTTCGGCCAATTACCCTCTCGGCGGCTAATATTCCAGCTGCCAAATTGTCGCCCACCCTCTCTGTGCCCTTTCGCCTGCATTATATTTTTAGTAAGCTGTTCTATTCTATTCTATTCCGCCCTTCAATTGCTCTGTTCCGTTCCGTTCTTTGGATCCTTTTTTGGAACTGTTCTGTTCTATTTCTTGGAATAAAGCAGGAATGAAACGGTTTGACTTGATTATTACCAGCAGCAATCTTTGGTGATAGCTCTGGAGACAGCCTCAAACAGCTGTTTGGGTAGATGTTCCTTGAAAGTTTGTTCTTATTCACTACCTAAATCCATGATCAGTTCGTTTCTGAATTTTGCCATCACTTAATGCACCAATTTATTTATATCAAAAAAAAAATCGTTTGCTTCGTTCATCGTCATCTTTTCAACTAAGCCTAAAAGCTTATTCATTCTCGTTTTCCACTTCTTCATTCCCGTCCTATTCAGCACAGATGGCTCAACTAAAATCCCCTCGAGGAATCGATGCATCATTTTATTCAGTTGTTCGTTCTTTAGCTTTTCTTCTTGTTTCATTTTGTCTTCATTTTCTCACTTTATTCATTTTGACTGTTTATTGCGACTGCTAAATACGGATATAATGATACTCTAATAAACCAAATCATCTCCTAGTGCCCAGATGTTAGCGATGACATTAACAACATTGCTGAACCACTGTATGGTTTCAAGCAAATAGAGTATCTAATCAATACTTTCTATGTCACGAATTAGATGTGGAATGCTTTCCTCGAAATCAAATGGCTTATTACAGACTGAGCGATCGGAGCGAACGACATTCCTTGAACATAAACGATAATCAGAAACATGACTGATTGATCTATCCTCAGTTCAAGCCATTCGACCATCTCTTTAGTATAATTCATTGATTGATTGGGGTAATTAAATATTTTGTCAATTCTGCTCTGATTTTCATCTTATTAGATATTTGCGTTGTTGTTTCTATCGTAGTTATTCGCATGATTTAAGTTGAGGATGGAGAGAAGGCGTTGATTCACGCCTTTTGGTGATGACGTTTTTTTAGGCATCATTACATTATATTTTCCAACTTTGTTCGCCATACTTAATTTTGTTCAATATAGGGTTTAGTCTGGTCACATCTCGTGCCACTCCATCTCAGAGTCACAGCCATGATTATTCGTTCATCATCCTAAAAATTTTATTTGAATTTTGGTGAGTTAGTCGGATAAAAAAACGAAACGTTACAATTTCAATTCATTTCACTGAATGCAATATAAATTATTGAATACTACTGTCAATTTGAAGGTAGCAAAAGAACATTCGTGGTGAACTACCATTAAGTGAAATATAGAAATTTTTGTTTTATGTTTTATTGTGTATTCATTGAAATTATTAGCATTCGTCCATTTGCTCGATTGAATGCTCCTTCCGATTTGGCTCGTAAAACTATGTGAAAATTACAGATAGATGTAGAGTGTCATAGAGGTGTTTAGATGAAGTCTGAAAAGTCGAATCGAAAACATATAACTAATATTGTAGATATCAACGCAAGGAATGCGTAATCGATCTTCAGTTCATCGTCAAGAAGTCGACGATGAGAAGCCATTTGAAGCATGGATATTCGTTTTGATCAACTCAACAACGTTTCTATTAGTATTGTTCACAATACTGATTGTGCTATCATTAAGCGGTAACTTGTTGGTGTGTGCTTCAGTGTACTTGGATCGAAAATTGCGTAAACAAGCCGAGAATTTATTTCTTGTTTCATTGGCACTTTCGGATTTGTTTGTGTCAGTATTGGTGAGTTTGTTAACGTCCTCTTCTTAATGTGACCAATGATCAGTTGTCAGCGTCTTTTTTCACCATACCTCAGAAATTTTACTTTCTGCTGAAAAAGCCGAATTGAGCGAACATCATCCTCAAGAAATTCCTTTTGAAGTTGTCATTCTCCTATCCTATCGACGAATTGCTTGTGATTTTCTCACTCATTCCTGCCTTACATTAATGCTTGTGAGCAGCAGGTGTTGAAGAAATAAATCTGATATTTTATTCATACATTTTTGAGTTTATGAAAGCAACAGAATGTTCAACTAAACGACTACTTATTTTGATAGAAATTGATAGGGCCGTATGATTATGCCACGATAAAACGAAATTTTAGTCGTTTTGCTTGAACTTGTGAAAGAAGTATTCGAGAGAGATTTTAAAAAAGCGTAATCTATTTATTTCAATAGAGTTTTTCAGTGCTTATACCACCGATGATATAATTAACCATCTGCCGTCTTTAAAGTGTAAATTTTTCGTGTCATATTGTTTTCAATCAAACAAATATGATCAATTAAACGTTGTTCGCACCCGTTAATCAAGATAGTTGATGAGATGATGAGATTGCCGGTATTACTACTGTTAGAATCACAAAAGATCGCGGCATTAATGATGAAATGAACAATGATAATAACAACAGCAAAGATAATGAATACTGAATACTGATGAAAATTTGATGAATGAAGGTGATGATATTCGCGGCTGCAAATGATCTGTTGGGATATTGGCCATTCGGACGTATTTACTGCCAATTGTGGATTTGTTCTGATATAGCGTGTTGTACAGCATCGATACTGAATTTATGTGCGATTGCGTTCTATCGATATCTGAATATAAGTCGACCAATGTTTTACGTTAGGTAGGTTCTAGATTAGCTTTCAGCTTAACACAGCAACAAGACCTCTGTCGGCCAATCGCCTCCCCTTTCTGTGCAACATTCTGTGATAACTTATTCACTGACCCCTTTAAGGACCCGTAAAGGAAATACTGCCTATGAGAAACAGTTTCTGAAAGTTTGTTCCTTTTCACTAGCTAAAATGCCACCTTTCCGCTTGTCCAAACTGCTCTCTTCGCTTTCTTGGGAGCAATAACACATTGAGAAACCACTGTGATCTAATTTCTTGCATACGTTTGTATTTTACTTCATTCATCTTTTTTGTGATCAGTCATATTTGTTTCCTTCTATTCGATTATAAGTAAAAATCTCTTATTCTAGACGTCGACACATTGCTTATGGTATAGCGGTTATTTGGCTTTTCTCTGTGATTATTGGAACCACTCAAATCGCATTCAGTTTTGTGCAACAAAAGGCTGAGCACAAAATACTGTTAATTAACGCATATCATCATTCCATGCAAAATCGGTCAATTATCATTTTATTTCTTCATATCAATCGAATATTCATTCATTCTCGTGTGTTCGAATAAGTTTTCTTTGATAGTATTCTAGACAGTTTTCTTCTTCAGATTAATCTGGGGTAGCAGTGGCTCGCTCCATCATTTCTATCTTATATTGGTTATTAAGATGGTTTGTATGAACTGTTCCAACAATGGTGATGATGGAGCTATAAAAAATAATAACAGTAATAATTATAGCAGTAGTGATAATGTTTAGATTATTCAGTTCTTCACCATCTCATTATCTGCCGAAGTGTCAGTTGTTACTAAAGCCAATCTATGCGATCGGTAGTTCAATGTGTAGTTTCTTTGTACCGGCCACAATCATGCTGTCACTTTATACAAAGCTGTATTTGTATGCACGACGACATGTTCGTTCGATCCGATCTCAGTTGAAGCAGGCTACGGGTTTACTGATCATGCAAATAGCTAGTGATAGAGTCAGAGAGGTTCATAGCTACTATTCATTTAATTAAGCATTTTATCACTTGCACATTGGTCTTTCTGCTGAAAAAAAAGAATTTTAATTAAAGGTGACCGCATCAACTCTGAATGTTCGCAGCAACAATGATACCATCCGAAAATTACCAGCACCATCTTGTCAGTCCCAGTCCTGCTCATGTTCTTGCTCCCGTTCATCATGCGACTCCTCTGATCCCCTTTGCTGCTCTTCCTCGAACTCATCGTCTTGCTCTCCGTGTTCCTTCACCCCTCGCTTATCGACATATCATCGTCATCGGTCGTTCTCACCACCATCTCAACAGCAGAATGGTTGTTGCATGCTTAGCAGAAACACCCATCGAGATGTGATCGCGTTATCAGCTGCAACGGCAGCAGTATCCATAACGGCAACTGCTCTGCCAACAAACTTGAATAAGCATCAAAACCATCATCTTCTCAAAGCCAACCAAAAAAGCACTCATCAAAATGTCAAAGTCAAATATTCCCGTCCCAATCATAATCGTGATCGCAATCCGTATCATCATCATCATCACCACCATCATCACCATAAATCACATAATTATGAGATGGATAGAATAATGGTTCGTTGATTCGTTTTGTTAATACTTTGCGCAAATTTGTAAGAAAGTAGCTTACAATTAGTTGAAGTAGATTTGATTGTTATCGTCGAGTAGTTACAAAAAATTGATAACGATTCCATTTTTGTCAACATGAGATTACACAAGATGAAACGTCGCTTGTAAATTTCTAATTGATTTGATTTTTTCTCATATGAATGAATAAAATTTTCAGCAGCGGCAGCATCAAGAGCATGTATCTCATTGTTTCAACGTCGCGAAACAATTTTTTTGTTTTTGCTGCCGGTTCGCATTTTCTACGACGAATTATAATACTAATCTAAGTAATAAGAAGATGAATGTTGATAGTAATCGATCAAAATCAGTATTCAGCCATAAAATACATCTTAGTGAATCCGCATCTTCAACACAGCAGCAACAACACCAAAAGTCTTCTCACAGTGTCAGCGATCAGAAAGCAAGGTTGGCCACTGAAGAACACTTCATCATTTTCTTTCGCAGCACCATTTCTTGTATCACATTCTTTCTGTGTCTCACTCTCGTTGTGTTTTTCTGCCTGAAATGAAGCCCAGTTTTAGGTTAACTCTTGGCTTCATTATGGGAACATTCCTTGTTTGTTGGCTACCGTTCTTTATCGTTAATGTGCTACGCTCATTGATTCCAGAAATCGTCACTAATGCTCAGTTCCAGGTGGTCGTCACTTTCATCTCTTTTGAATATATTTTCTTTTTGAAAAAAAAAAGACCTAAAGTGATATTTTTGTTGATACAAAAAAATATCACTAGGCTGCAACTAGGCCATGATCAGCAAACGCATTAGCTCTATAATCATGGCCTAGTTGCGCACAGTTTATTTCTTCTTTTCTTTGAACGTAAAACCTTTAAATTTTTCTTCATTATTTGCTCAATGTTGCTATATTTCCGATTATTTGGATTGATTAAAGGCAGTTACATGGCTAGGATATGCGAATTCGACAGCAAATCCGCTCATATACAGCATCTTAAATCGAGATTTTCGTCGTTCCTTTGAGCGCATATTAAAACGTTTATTCGTCTATTTATGTTGTCGTCGACATTCCACGAATCCACAACGATCATCATTTCAATCTATTAAATATCACAAGTGTGTGCTTTTTAACTAGTCCACTACACCAATTCATTGCAACTTTTTTTCTCAGTTCGTTCAATAAATTATTTTTTATTAGAAGTACATTTCAGCAAGATGAAAAATTCGACAAAAAAAACATTGTTAGAAGGTTATTATTGAAAATAAAGGTCTCTTTATAGAAGGAATGGTCAATGTCGTGAAGATTTTGGTGAGAATGCTCATCATGCATCATCATATTTGTTGAATGATACAGATAACGATGAGAACAAATTCAAAATGAAACTGGAGAAGATAGGATGAAGTGGAAATTAGAGCCAACTTGAACGACAGCTGTGATGATTCTCTCTTGAGATGATCATTATCGTTGTATTGTACACTATTGAAACATAAAGTGGATGTTGACTGTTGTTAGTTTATTCGAAATGTTCTTACTTGTATGCACACGCGTAGTCAAGGGAGGGAAGTGTAGGGGTGCACACTCCCTCTACCCCTTAAGGATGGAAGAAAAGGGAAATGTGGAACGGAGGGGGGAGGAAATACGAAAAACAGCGAGTGGAGGAAAAGAGACAAAAAATAAGTGTCGAAAAATTCAACCCAAAATTTAACTGTTTTCTTGGGATCAGATCGTTTTGCGCCCCCCCGTTCCCCTAAAATATTCTCAGTTACGGTCGTGCTTGCATGTGTTTGAATCTATTCAACATTGTTCCACTGAAACGAACATTCACAGAATGGTAATTGCTCATGCAAGATTTTGAATTTAGGTGCACATTTAGGTCTAGTGTATGTTTACTAATATGAAATCACAAAGTTTCTTGTCGTTCTTCGTTTCTGTTGTTTTTGAATTTCTTTATCTTTTTTTGGTTCATTTAAAGGTTGTTTTGGCAAGCACTACAGCTCCCTATGGCTCTTCTGTCCTTTCTTTTAGCAGATCTTCTACTATTATTGTTGTATAATTGTTCGTTTATTAATTACGATGTTGGGTTGGTACAATAGATTGGTCAATGAATACGAATTGATGTGTTGGTATCGTATCCATGTGTGATTGGTTTGTGCAGATGTTATGTTCATCCTTAAAGGGATTGTGAACCCAGTTTCTTATTTAAAGGGATTAGGAACCAAGTTTCTTATTTAAAGGGATTAAGAACCGAGGTTGATCCTTCAGTTCGATAATATGATAGATTTAATTAAAGTCTCGCAGTTGCATATTTCTGTGAGGATTGCTTACTGCAAGACACCTAGTTTATAAGTGATATCAAAGTTTTGACCAAATATGAAAAATGCAAGATGTAAGATGTTCAGTTAATGTATGTTTCATTAATTTTTAATATCTATTTTGTCTAATACCGATGAGTAATCAGATCATTGCGGATAGTACTTCAATACATCGATCAACGGGGTAGAAGTAATGATTCCATGTAGGAGTGTTTGATAGTTTTGGTTTGATGTCATTTAGAAGTTTGATAATTTTGACTCAGTGATTCTATTGAAAAATTTGTATTATATAAGTGAATGTTGTGTTTGAACGTACCACTTATTTTTTTGAACATTACGTTGTCTTCTATCAATGATTTTGGTGTTTATTCACTCATTGTGAGCGGTTCGTTCGGGTTTATGTAGATTTCATATTATTTATGCGGGCCGTTCAGGTCGTATTATTTTCATAGAGGTTTAAGTTAGAGTTGAGATTGAGACAGGAGTTGAGGTTCCAGCAGGAATTTAATGGCTGTAGAACTGGGTGAAATTGGAAGGTGTTGGAATTTGGGATAGTTTTGGACCTAAGGATGGGGCTGAGCCAATAGTTCCAGAACTTGAACCAACAGTCGTTCTTCCAAAAAACCTGGATCAAAGTCGTATTGTTCCGAAATTAGGATCTGAAGTTCGGATTATTGTTGAATATTCGTAAAAAGCATTTCGTTTGCAGTTTATTTCAGTGAATTTGTGCGATGAATTTTTTTAAAACTCAAATTCAGCATCCAGTTAATGTTTATTCTTAAAATGCTATTTAGTCTTAAAATATTTGTTAATTAACGTTCAAATTAATTGATAATCGTGAGCAGTAGCAATGCATCAAATTTCATTAACCTTCATTTGAAGTGTGACTATATAATATTCATTCTTGGGATACGGTAGTTACTCTTACTTCTCTGAAAATAGCCGCGTCTGATTCGCTCTCCTCGTTATTTCATTTGCAAGCTCTCCTCATTGTCGGTTATCTTTCCTCTTTTGAATGTGCCACGCAACAACAACATGATACTCATTCTTCTTTTTATACCACACAGTTGGTTCACTGAACAATGATGGGGTCGGAAACATTTTCTGTCGCCATCGTTTCGATATTATACAGAAGCACACGTAGGTGTCATGTATTGGTCATATAGAAGGAGCGGAGACATACAAGCTGTGAATTAATGTGATATGTTATTGAAGCAGATACAGTAATCAGCGAAGGTAACATCTAGAATTCGTGAAGAGTAATATTCTTTCTACATGGGGTGTACGCAACATCATTCATTTTCTTTATGCGGTTGTACAATAATATTATTTAGTATGAATACTTCAGGTATTCTTAGAGTTTATTTAAATTTTTAGATGTTTGAGCGATGTTTTTACATACGCGAATCGTATTTGATAATCTATGGCCGATTTACATTTACTGTCTGAAAATCAACAAACGCTACATCCCATTGTATTTGCTCTTCATTGACATCGGAAAGGCATTTGGGTCCATGCAAAAATTGCTATATGGGATTCACTGCAATCGGTTTCAGTCAATCATTTGATCATCAAAATGTTACAGAAAAATTATGAAGTGTGCAAGTCTCCCAAGCATTTGAGTAATATCAAAATTCCATTCAATATGCAAAGAGGAGTACGCCAGACGGTAACGATATCACTGCGGCAATTCAACGCTTGTCTGTAAACAATATTTGAAGGGCGAGACTGGCAAGATAAGGGTACCGAAATTGATATGGAAATGTTACACAATCTCAGATTCGCTGGTGACATTGTACTGATTTTAAAGAGAAGGGACGGTGCTGCAACTGGATGAGGACAATGCTCTTGTTCGGGAAAATAGTGAAAGTGGATCAAGGATCCACATCACATGAACGAATATCATGACAGCTGTGTATTCAACGCAACGCTCATATTACACAGAAATGTTGGTGGAGAATTCACAAGCCCTGGTCAACTCACCAATGAAAAGGGAAGAGGAACCCGAAGTAAGAAGGAGGAGAAAATTTGGATACAAATCGTTTTATAAATATACAGAATTTTTCGTTGATAAGGGGCCTGGAATGGTTTTGAACGACTTTTGTTAGATGAATATGTACTTCGGGTTAGTGTTGGGAACTGTAAGATTTTTTGCCGGGGCCGTCGACCGAACAAGCCCTTGCGGTTGCAGTCGAGGGTCCCGAATTTCGAAGGCTCCCAGAAATCGGTCAGCAATTCCCGACCCAACTCTACTTCTGGTGATGGCAAAGAGAGCAGAAAATATGATGTCTTTTGATTTCACTCTGATGATATTTTGATTATGTCACTACGTTTAAGTTGTAATCCCTTAATTCACATTCATTTACGCCATAATGTTTAGCATTGCAATTATATTTGTCATAATGCTCAAATATCACCGCTGCGTTGCTATACGGGGGTGAAACGTGGGCCTAATTAGTGATGTCTCTATTTCAGTTAAACTATTCTATTCCTGTTCTACTCCAAGGAATGGAATAGAACAGTTCGCAAACGAGGAACGCACAGAACAGAATAGAGCCGTTTTGGAGCGGAATAGAATAGGACATTTTCCAAAAGTTGGTATAGAGACATCACTAGCCACAACAAAGATAGAAGAACAAAACAATACAAAGAGAGATGGAGAGACGCATGTTAGGAATATCGTTGCGGAAAGATCCGATGCGAGGAGATTCCCCGAACAAGTGGAGTAAGAGACGTGATCGCAGAGTACAAGAAGAGAAAGTTACGTTGGGTAGGCCGCGTAGCAAGAATGAATGATGACAGATGGACTCAAGTAGTTGCAGAGTGGTACTCAAGGGAATTAAAAAGACCACTCGATAGATCTGCAATAAGATGGAAAGAGCATATCACGAAGGAATTGGGTAATACCTGGCAAAGGAAAACAAGGTGAAGGACCGAATAGAAATGCACTGTAGCCAGCAACGTTACAAATGTTTGATAGTCTGGCCAATTCAGCTAATCCAATTAGCAATGCTTAAATTCTGTCACAATATATGGTCATAATTTCAAATATCTATGTTGCAGCTTTTAAATTTCGTTTACTAATTCATTGAATCTTTTCTCGTTTCTGCTGTTTGCAACAGCTGACTCGTGCGAACTTCCGATAATTCTGAACGTTCACACCTAAACTTCATTATATCACCAAATTCAATACTTTTTCAAACAGAAAGTAGGTCATCAACTCTGAAAATTCCTCGCTACCATCTGTCCTCATCTTAGTATTTCAATTCCTTATCCTCAAGTATTCTTGTACCCATTGGCATGAAGTATAGCTGTTCCGATTATTTTGATCAGTCATGAATTTTCATTCACCAAATGTTCATTTAGTCATTCCCTCATATATTCTTAAAGATTCGTGGTATCTTTGCAGTCAATAGTTTCATTTTATTCTCTTTTCTTCCACCACTCGGTGGATTATCCATTTTGCTGAGTTTTATGTGTCCATTTTTACTTGCAGATGTTTCGAATTGCACAGAATGATTCAAATAAACTGAATGAACAGAATTGATATCCCATCCAATTTGATCCTCATATTTCGCCGAATTTATAACTTGCCATAGCAAGCGAATGATTTCATTCATGTTATTTCATCATTCAAAATATGAAACCTTTGTCCAGCGGTATGAATACAAATGTAAATTGTCATATTTTGCATAGATTTTCGCACATTT